AGTCCGTAGTCCATTTGCAAAGTCCGAGGGTCTATTCTTTCTAATCTTCTCCGCCAAAACAAGATCCGTGGAGTCTTTGTGAACAGAAGAAAGCCAGCTGTCCATCAGCACAGAAGCCGCTTTGGGGGGACCTTGCACGGTGCTGAAGCCTGGCCACATCCATCTAGCCTGATTTTCAGCATGCCCTTGACTCCGGATCAGACCCGTTCTTGAAACCCAGGTATGAAACTGGGTATGGCTTCTGATACGGTCTTCTCGCTCTGGACAACGAAGATCTAAGATGACGTTGAGGAAGATTGGCACATGTGCACTGGCTGTCAATAATCCGAGACTTGAACATCTGAGTCGACAGTGTGCATACTTACTTATATTACCCAGAAAAAGTCCTTCTCATTTGGGCAGTAACGTAGAGGTTTTAGCTACTTGGTTTAAAGCGGGTTCAGATATTCTGCTGCGTAATAGTATTCCTCTAGATTCAAACCAATGCGTACTACGGGTTGGTGATTGACTGCTCACCTCGAAGCTTGATGATCCTTCACCAAGAATATATTATTGTCAGTTTTAGGTTTGGCTGGCGGTATTCCATCTCTTATGTATTGGCTTGTGAATGCCGGATCAACAAAACAAGTGGTCCTTGTCGGCATCATGTTACTAAAGAGCCCTTGTGTCTCCAAAGACTTTCAGTACATGCTGCAAGAAAACTCCATCAATACACACGAACAATATCGCGTAGACTCTGATAAGTTGCTTGCTCCTTGACCCGTCTTCCATTTGAATGAAAAGGACCAAACATAATTCTTTTCCCAATTCTACTACTATTTCCGTCATCGAAGATGAGACGTTGTACGCAAAATCCAGAAAATCGGACTTGATGAAACTGCTCTTCAAATATGAGGGGAAAAGACGTTGCATAGCGACATTGAATTTGATATCCTCTAGGTTGAGTTTAGGGAATACCGGGCACGTAAACCTACCAGATAATTCGCATAAAACTGATTGGCACCTTGTGCGTCCAAACTTTTCCTTCGATATATTCTTAAGTTTTTGGAGAAGAATTCCTATCAGCAAGGGTAAACAATTTGAATAGATCTTTTATTTCTTCAGCGGTCGAGACTGAGACAGCATCACAACTATTACTACAACTAGTTGTTGTTTCTTTGATGTTCACCCGCTGATTTTATGACTTTGAGTATGGATTTGCCGAGTATGAATTTGCGTATGACTTTGCGTTGGATGCAGGTAAGGTTGGGCTCTGGTGTGAAGCTGTGGTTTGATTTCGGGCGCTGGATAAGTAGCATTCTGAATTAAGTTGCAATTTTAAGAAAATTGAGTTATCATTATTTCCCTTGATAGATGGATTGATCATCTTTTCCTCAACAAGTACAAGATGCTCATCTATGATTATCGCTCTTAATATTGCCTCCTTCAACCTGTCAGCCACATCACTGCATACGTTGCTGTATAGCCTAATTGACCTTTTCTGCAGAGAAAAATTTTCAAGCTAGGTTTGTTGAAGGCGATGATGCAACTATGTACTCTAAATGTTAATATATGGCACTTGTTCTCAACATCTGAGAACTTGCCACTTTCGTAGATACTCAAATTCTTTAATGAATGTGCCCGAAGTAACCTTAGTGGTTTAACAACAATAACAATATACGAATCTCCTGCATCCAAGTAAACAGGCTTGGGTTTTGAATCAACCTCCATAACATTCATAAGCTATATCATCTCCATACCTAGCACCTTATATTCCAGTTAGCTAGGTATTACTGTATCTCTAACTAACAAGCTACTGGTAGCTTCCTGTGGCAGGCTTACAAATGTATGGGTCATGGGTCATGTATCGAAACACCGAGAAATCAGCCTTTTGGACTAGGCAGGCTAAATAGGCTACTAAATTTGCCCCAATCAAGGCGTGCTGATTTGAATTCAGCTAGTCCCATTTAAAGGAATAAAAACAGATATCAATACTTACTATATAAGTATGAGTCATGATCCTCACGATCAAAGATCCTTCAGTTACTTGAGTTCAATACAAGCTGAAAGTAGACACGTTTAGAAGCTTTGAATCAAACCTTGTTATAATCAAGGCAATACTAAGTTCCATGCAGGAGGAATACGGGTTTTCTTTGACTGGTTGGAGAAATTGATTTGCGCGAGTATTCAATCTCTCAAGCCCAACTCTCATTACAGCAGAAGGCGTAATCGCAAATTGCCCTTAGTAAAGCCGAAAACCTGCGTGAGACTCCCCAATGCCCAATCTTGTCCAATGAATCAACAATTGACAATAAAATAGCTTTAAGAGAAAAGTTAACCTCGGCCTTTGCCTCTCTGAGCTCCGGGAGTAGGATGGAGACATCCATGCCAGAAAGATATAGTTCTGGAAATTGGCGGACTTCGGATGATATGCGTGATGCCGGTGCTTTGGTGTTTGAGCTAAAACGTATATAGCAAAATAACACCAGGCCAGTCCAAAAAAGAGCCCTAGGAGTATGTATAGCAGGCTCAGAAGCGAGGCTCATAGCCTGGATATGTTTGCGGATCATCAAACCGTGAAGAACGCACCTGAATGCATCTTCAGAATTTGCCCAAGAGAGAAGAGTGGAGAATTGTTCCTCTGAAAGTTTGCATCCCTCACGACCCACAGCCATTTCTAAGAGATTGAAGTCAGCATATATTTCCATGTATACTAAATGCCACAAAACAATCAATTGCAGTGGATCATTGGGTAATGATGTATCAAGATACGCTTCTAAAAAATGATGATAAAAATAATTGAGCGGTCGGTGAAAGTGTTCTGTTGAATGGTGGGTCGTGACATTCTGCG